CCTGCTGAATGGTCTGACAGATTTGGTCCTTCTCCACCACCTAGAGTCTCTTTGCCACTGGTGCTCCAAAGGAACACAACAATGGGACACTCCCTAAAGGTAGCAATCTTTAAAAATATAAGCAATACCCTGCTGCTCCTATCAAAATTAGTATTATGCTTATGACATATAGGTTTTTAAAGGCTTTCAGATGAATAGTCTGAAAGTCCAAGTACACACATTGCTTTTTTCTGCTCCAAAGCCCCCTTGGCACAAGTGATGTGAAGACAAGAGTACCTGTGAAGATATGACTGCAGCCCACAGCTGCTCGGTCTGCAAAGGCAGAAACATGTTCTCACTTATCTGCCCCTTCACATTTCCTAACAAGTTGTATTTATGTGGCATGGAACTTTATGAAGGTTTCAGGGATTTTCAAGTATTTAAATGCTCAGACTGTAATGGTAACAGATGTTCAATGATATATTTAATTTTTCGTTGCACTGAAAATATCATGTATTGGCTGATACTTTCTGTAAAACAGAACTTGGAAAGAATGCCTCAGTGTACTGCACTTCCAGGAAATGCACCTGAGCCTTTCACCTACTGCATTAAAGTGGGCAATTCTGAAATTAGTCCGCAAACGTTCCAAGAGGATTTCTTGATTGCCAAAAAAATAGGGCTTTCAGGAGCACCATCTTTTGTGTAATCTCTCTCTTACAAGACAGATGGCGTCATTAATTGCCTCTACATCTAGTTAAATTTTAAAACCTGTACTTAAATAATGTTGAACATGTGGTACATGATGAAAAACATAGGAAATATTACAGTAGAATCAACTGGAAACAAGGGAAGAAAACCAAGACAGAAAAATCAGGACTAACAAGAAGCCATAAGAAACACCAACTGATCCAGCACTCCACAGCTGCACTGGCTGCCCAGCAGCATTTTCCTCTTTAGTTAATTCAAGGTGTTACTATCATTTAAGTATCATTTTTTAAATGCTGCATTCTTCATTCTAGACTCCCCAAAAGGCCACCTGTCTCTTCCCACCTTAGCCCAACTCATGCCTGCAGCTGATGTGCCCGCAGCAGGATGTTTTCAGGGCTGGAAGAGGTGTGGCACTGCCAGACACCACCATGAAACTGACTCTTATCATATGTCACACAGTACCTGGATCTGCTATTAAAATATTTTTTAAGTACTCTAAAGCAAACAAGCTGCTAACTGTGCACACACTGCACTGCAGCAGAAAGCTGCAGGAGGGGAGCTGGGATGGGGCCTGGCACTGCTCTGTTCTCAGGCACAACATTTACTTGGTAAACCAAATTGTTTACCATTCATCCTATTTGCTGTAGGAAATTGTCAATACCCCCTTTTTCTCGGCTTCATCCTCCTGTCTCCCCTCTGCATTCTTACAGGCACTGGTTTGCTCAAAAGAGTGCAATAATCCCTGTAGTTATTTTTACAGAGTATAATATGAGAACATTTTGAAACTAAAATTATCTCATAATCATACCATAAGACCATTGTCTGCAATTACCAGATTAATGTAAAATGCACTTATTTTAGGGGGGGAAATAGTCATTAGAAGGAATTAAAAGATTATTTTCTTACCCCTCAGTTTTGTAAGTAGCTCTGCAGGCTGATGAAAAAGGTTCCTCAGGTCCACCTGGCAGACCAGATCTAAATTTTATGCTGTTGCTAGAATTACCATGGGCTTTACCTTCCTCCAAACACCTCCTGGCTTAGAAATAAAAGTCTCCTCAAAAGGGCAAAGTTCTCCTGCTGTCTGCTGGAATCAAGTAGGAAAGCAGATCATTCTCACGGGGACAGAGTGAAGGAACATTCCTGCCCCACTCACCTGCCGCTCCATTGTCTGGGGATGGGTGAAAGTCACAAAATCAATTGAGAAGTAACCAAGCACTCCTCTAGATTTACAGGCTTCTCCAATTTTTAAGCAGAGGGAGTTGAGAGCTGCTGGCTCCACAGAGCCCTGTGGGATGGCAGTGCCGGAGGCGCGCAAGGCCCCGTCCGCGTGGAGCTGGGTTCCAGAGGACACTACTTCTATCCTGCCTGTTGGCTCGATCAGCATGTCCACTGTCAGGTTGGTGACATCTTCTGAGAGAGGGAAGGCTTCTATCACACCACCTAGTCAGAAATTAATTAGCTGTTAGGCTAGTGGTAAAATTCCCATGTGGAGATCTTCAGAGCGCACAGGATGAACCCCTCCAGCCCCTGCTGTGCTCAGGTGTTGCAGGGAGGGTGGGAGATACAGCAAGTAAATAAATATCATGTGAGCAGCACAGCTAGAACCCAACAATCTCTTAGGAGAGAAAGATCTCTCACCTACTACAGTACCATACACGTCCACCAGAGGCTTTTTGAGCTGCAAACACTCTTATGAGCAGTTCCAAACTGGATATATCACATACTTGACAGGAAAAATATGTTCTTGGGTAGTGCGAACAAATCCTGAGCTGTCCTACAGCCCAGCTACATGCCAGGCCCAGAAGAGCAGTGAAATGCAATGTTGGGACCTGAGGGAAGTGGTATCTCCTGCTGTGAACTTACCTTGGTGATTCCTATCCATACAGTGGTCTGAGTCTGCCTTTTGATGCTCATCCACATGAGGAACTTGGTGTGTAGGTGGGAAGGCTTGTAGATGACAATTTCTAGCATGGTTTTCCATAGGAAAATCACAAAGAAAACTGCTTGGCATTCTGGAAATGCCTCTCTACTGCATGTAATGCCATAGCTTATTTAGACAGAATAAACTAATGTGCCATAAAAATTGGCTTTATATATATTAACTGGCATTATTTTTCAGAAAAAATACTTTCAAAGCTTTGACTCATCCTGGTCTCTTCCACAGATAAAGAAATGTATGAAACATATATATCCATTCTACACAATACAGAATGATAGCAGGGCAGGCTCACCACAGAAATTTACTACCCAACCACAAACACTGCATCTTTTTCACCCGAAATGTAACCCACAAATACAGGATGTCACCCTGGCTGAGCAAAGCCCCCTCCCAGATGCACTGATCTGCAGTGATCAGACAAGGGTTTGAGCTGCACAGCCTCTTATGGACAAACATGGGCTCACTCCTGAGCTCTTGGCCAGGGGGGTACTGGCCAGCTTGGATCCAAAGGTGCCAGGAGAAGGTTTAATGCAGGAAGCCCTGCTGAGGACTCAGAACTGCACAAACAAAACTATCCAGCTACTGGTTTGGAATGTGCTCATCTTCCTTTGGTTGGAGTGCAAGAAATAGCCCAGCAATGGTCTAACAAGGAGTCTGTGCCAAGGCACTGTGAGGGACAGTCACTGATCCTCTGTGGTGACATGACCTGGAAGGCAAAAACTGGGGAAAAAGCTCAGCTCTTCTCCAAGGCAGCTAAAGCACATTTCACTTTATGCAATGTTTGGAGCATCCAGAGGTTACCTACAGCTCCCTTCACTGTCCCATGAGAGGGGAAGGTAAGTCTCTCAGGTGTTTGCTAACCAACACCTCCCAAAGATGAAATATTCTGACATTTCCCTACAGGCAAACTCACCT